GCTCCAATGCGGCCGCGAGAGGCCCCCAGGACAGCCTCCGAGGGGGCAAAACGGCGCAAAAGCGCCAAGACGGCCGAAGATGCCCCGAAGAGGCCCCAAGAGGCCCCCAAGAAGCCTCCAAGAAGCCCCCCAGAAGCCTCTAAAAGGCCCCCAAAAAGCCCCCCAACGGCCACACAGCGACTGGAGTGTAATGTCATTTTCCCCCCTCTGGGCGAACTGCGGCAGGTGGAAGTTGGTCGCTGCGGCGCCCATGATTAGAGCCGGCGCTGGAAGGGAAGATGGGGAGGGTGTATGAAAAGGAAGGGGGAAAGGCCCCAAAGAAGCTCCCAGGAGGCCTCCAAGAAGCCCCCAAGAGGCTCCCAAGAGGCCCCGCGACGACGTGATTGTACGTGCTCCGGACGTGCACCCTGCGAAGCGAGAGGAATCCGACCTCCTCACCGTCCTCCTCCTCCCCTCTGCCTCCTCCTGCCTCTCCGCCCCCTCCTCCCCCTCCCCCTCCTTCCCCCCCCCCTCCTCTTCCTCCTCCTCCTCCTCCACCTCCTCCTCTCCCTCCTTTTCCTCCCCTCTCCTCCTCCTCCTCTTCCTCCTCCTCCGCCTCTTCCTCCTCCTCCTCCTCCTCCTCCTCCTCCTCCTCCTCCTCCTCCTCCTCCTCCTCCTCCTCCTCCTCCCCTCCTCCTCCTCCTCCCCCCTTCCTCCCTCTCCTCCTCCCCCCGTCCTTCTCCTTCCCATCCTCCTCCTCCTCCGTCCCTCCTCCCCCCCCCTTTCCCCCTCCGCATCCTCCGACTCGTCGTCGTGTCCTCCTCCTTCTCCTCCTTCGCCTCATTCTCCTCCTCCTCCTCGTCCTCGTCCTCCTCCTCCTCCCTCCTCCCTCCTCCTCCTCCTCCTCCTCATCATCATCACATCATCATCATCATCATCACATCATCATCATCATCATCATCATCATCATCATCATCATCATCATCATCATCATCATCATCATCATCATCATCATCATCATCATCATCATCATCATCATCATCATCATCATCATCATCATCATCATCATCATCATCATCATCATCATCATCATCAGCATCATCATCATCATCATCATCACATCAGCATCAGCATCAGCATCAGCATCAGCATCAGCATCATCATCATCATCAGCATCATCATCATCATCATCATCATCATCATCATCATCATCATCATCATCATCATCATCTTCCTCCTCATCCTCCCTCCTCCTCCTCCTCCTCCTCCCTCCCCCTCATCTTCCTCCTCCTCCCTCCGACTCCTCCCTCCTCCTCCTCCTCCTCCTTCTCCTCCTTCTCCTCCTCCTCCCCCTCCTCTTCCTCCTCCTCTTCCTCCTTCTCCGCCCGCGCCTCGTCCTACTCCTCCTTTTCCCTCTTCCTCATCCCCCTCCCCCCCTCCCAAGACACTCGACGCCGGGATTTGTTCACAACGTGGGCCCAAAATATCCAGACGACTTCCCGGGGCCGACTGTTCATCCCGACTTGTGCTTTACGGTCCCAGGGCCCCGCAAGGGCCCCCTGGAGGCTGGAACTTGTGCAAAGCTTCCCGTCGTGATTTTTTGTCTCGACGCGAGGTGGGAGCGAAGAAAAGCGAAACCACCACCACCACCACCAGGGCGAGGAGCCAGGGGATGCCCCCTGGCGGTGTGGCCACACCGCCCCGCTCGAGACATCCCCGACCTCCAGCTTGAAGGGGCATCGCAGACCTTCTCGATGAAGGTGGCTCCCCTGGTGGTGGTGGTGATGGTGGTGGTGTGGTTTCTCCTTCCCCCGAGCGAGGGGGACTGGGTCCTGCACTCTGCCCTGGGCCTCAACGGCCTCCGGACGGGAGGCGCCCGCCCTCGAGGGCGGCGCGGCGGGCCCGACGCGACGCCGACGGCCATCTTGGGAGCCTCTTGGGCCGTCTTTGGGCGATCTCGGGAGCCTCTTCGGCTATCTTGGAGCGTCGGGAAGCCGAAAAGGTGAGAACCACACAACATCTTCAAAAACCCTCGAAATACAACCATGTGTTGCCTCTTGTGGCCCTCTTGAAAAAGCCTCTTGGAGGCCTCTTGGGCCGTCTTGGAAGCCTCTTGGGCCGTGTAGGGACTATCTTGAGCGTCTTGGACCGATCTTGTGGCGTCTCGGAACCCTCATGGGCATCTTGGGTGTTTCCTGGGGCCGTCTTGGAGGCCTCCTGGAGGCCTCCTGGGCCGTCTGGAGGCCCCTTGGAGGCGCCAGGACGGGGGTATCAAAAAAGGGGGCCCGATGGTTTTGAGGTGGGCGGGGCACCCGGGCTGGGGACCTGGTTTTCATCCATATTAAATATGTTGTACAAGTGCACTCACGTGTGTATATATGAACACATACATACATGCATGCATACATGCATACATACAAACATAAATAGAAATATGTATATCCACTGGCCCCCTTGCGGGGCCATCAGGCTGCGAGGATTATGCTTGGTGCTCCCTGCGCCAGTTCCAGTTGCCAGCTTTCAATGTTGCAGTATTGGTTTATGTTTCTTAATGTAAATTGTTACTGTCTGCGCGAGGGGGGGCGCCAGAAACCACCCTGGCCACCGTCCCAGAATCACGGATTTTTGGTGGGCCGTCGGACACGGAAAAATATTAGAGCTTCGCGCTCCCGACGCAATGATCCCTTGTAAACTACACTGTGCTCGCGCCCCCGAAGCCAACATTCATTGCAAATTACATGGTATTCGTGCCCCCGAAGCCACGACCTCTTGTAAAATACATCATGCTCACGCTCCTGAGGCCACGATCCCCCGTAAATTACACCACGCTCGCGCCCCCGAGCCACGATCCCGCGAAAATTACGCCCCATTCGCGCCCCCGAAGCCACGATCCCTTGCAAATCACACCACGTTCGCGCCCCCGGGGCCACGATCTGGTCGCCAGCTCAGACGTTGATAGGCGCGACCGCGTCTCCGCCAGCGGTGGCCATGCATGTGTTCGCGTTCCCGCGCCCTCCACGCCCCAGCAATACATTGCCCAAACTGCCGGGTGCCTTCCCGGCTAGGCGACCGCGAAGCTGCGCATGCGGCCCAGCAGCTCATCATAGTGCTGCTGCGTTCGTGGCATTTGGCCACCCCGTGGTTGCAATTGCAATAGTCGAACAGCTCTGCCAGGGCCGAAACGCAACGCTCTGAAGAGCACAGTGGTGAGCAACGGAGAATTCGGGATGGCAAAACCTACAGCCTACAGCATTGGCTTCAAGACGGGCGATCCCGGACAGAACGAGGACTGCATGCGTTCTCTCACCGGGTTCGGGTCTGAAGTCGCTAAACGCCGTTCTTGAAATGAGCTGGCGTTCATCCTCTAGGTTCTCAAATGTGGCACGACAGAGAAACATAATGTCTGTGACAAGATCCGCGTGGACCCCTTGTAGAGTCACGCCGTAGCTAATGACCTGTAGTGGGCTCCGCATCGCGACCGTGCAAGCTACCCCACCGAATCCAAGCTGCAGGCATGCAGTATGCTGTTGTGGTGTCATGCGGGTGCTGGTGCTATCGAACCACGCATGAGCTTTCCGAGTGAACTCGAGAAACGATACGTTTTTCGCTGGGTCCCAGTGAGGGCCCCTGGTGGCGTTATCACCTCCTCCGTCGTTGAGGTTACCACGATGCATGTAACCAATAGCGCCGCCGATGCATAGCCTGATAATACCAGATATGAGAAGCAGCAGGTATTGCGTAGCTGGTGTTGGGAATTGGCATTGGTGTTTTTGTCGCCGTGAATCGGCGAATCGACTGTGGAGGCATGTCCCCATGATGTTATACTCGCTTGTTCTGAAGCGCACCGTAAGCCGGAGCGTAATGGCAAAAGGCCGTGGCGTATGCGCAGTTGGTGATAGTCAAGCGGGCGTCACAGGTAGGGGAAATGGCGTTACCGCGATTGGCGCGTCCGCCTGCTAGTCAGTAGTCGCGCTCTGGCATCGCAGTGGTATTAGCGGCACCCCACGCCGCACTGTGGAGTAGGAGTGCTATAGACAGACCTGACCACACGCGAGCGAGCCCAGTTCCGCAACCGAGCAACCAGTGAGGTAGACATCGTGAGATGTAGCAGCGCTGGTAAAGGATAGATGTGGGAGGCATTTTCCAGGAGTCGAACTCTTTTCCGATGCAGTAGCGGATCGATAATTGCGCTTACGATCTGGGCAACTAGAGCGCCGGTCGCTTGAACAACAAACAACAGCGCGGACGCTCGCTACGCTCGCTTACATGTTACCCAACCCTCCGGTTTACGCCCAAAATATGACGACAACGACCGCGATACTTTCATCTGACAAACTAACGAACGTGGTCTGAGTTGACCGCATCGAGCGCCAACGTGCGTTTGAGCACCCCCGCCGCTGCCGGACTGCGAGCCAGGGCTGCGAGCCAGGGCAGCATTAGAACGAGCGCGCGGCGCGCAGCGTTGCTCTCACCCTGGGCGCATCAAACAATTATCCTGGCGATGGACCCAACCATATGCAGTTACGAGTACCGCAAAGCAGGTTGAACGAATGAGAGGGAACTACGAAACGTGTGAGGGGTGTGCCGAAATGGGTGCGGTGCCGCCATGCGAACGCAGCCACTGGGGCCCTCGGTGGAGCTCCCTTTGGGGCCACGAAACGTGTGAGGGGTGTGCCGAAATTGGTGCGGTGCCGCCATGCGAACGCAGCCACTGGGGGGGCCTTCGGTGGAGCTCCCTATGGGGCCACGAAGCGTGTAAGGGGGGGGCCGAAATTGCAAGTAGTCGGCGGAAGCTGCGCAACGGTATCGATCTGTGAACCTTTTTCTGAACTCCGAAAGCTCGAGCCCTGCTCACAGGGCTTCTAATCCCTCGTGCCTCTGAGCACAAGCGAGGGGGCGCTAGAGCCGAGACGGTAGCAGGCAAAACACATATGCAAAACACAACTCCAATCGCAAACTGAAGCTATGCAAAACATGGAACATGAAACATCTGCTACCCTGCTGGACTCACTCACTCATGCTCAGGCTTGCTCGTATTCGGAATTGCACAGATAAGGGTCCTCCAAGCTGAGCATATTTAAGTCTACCTCCTCGACTGAACTGCACTCGGTCATGACCTCGTATGGCGGGAAGTCGGGGCACGCAGCTGCATTGACATGAACTGTTGAACCACCTGGGGTCTTGAGAATGCCAACTCCCACGTGCTCGAACGGCTGGATCCCAGCTGCCTTCCACTTGCGCGCACTCTGGTACTTCTCGTCGTAGAACAACTTCCAGCGGTGCCCGCTGATGAAGTACATCCGCAGCTGGCCCGGCTCGTGCCCCTTCGTCAGCGAGTCGGCGAGCTGAGCATCCCCAAGTACCCAGAGCATCGAGTTGTTCGCCGCCTGCGTCCCTTCCTTCAGCGTCGTCGCCTCCACGTCAGTCCGCTTCTCCTTGCCCCTGAAGGTGTAGACCGTCGTCTGCAGCTCGTCGTGCAGGCCCTTCGAGTCCACAACCACCGCTCCTGGCAGTCTGCGTAGAACTCCCTCGGGACTCCTCCAGTCGATGTTGTTGCCCAGGATCTCCAGCCACTGCAACTTGATACCGAACAGCTCGTCCTCCGCGTCCACAGCTGAGCGTGTCTCACATGCCGCGGAACTGCGGCAACCACGATCGATCTTGCCCGACTTCCAGGATATGACGCTCACGTCCGTCTCGTCGCCCTTGAGGATCTTCAGAGGTGCCAGGCCTGCCACCAGGCCCTTTGTGGACTTCCCATCGGGCCGATTGGCCTCGGAAGAGTCAGACCACTCCACTGGCACCAGCACCTGCGACTGAGAGTGGATGTGGATCACCACGGGTAGATCAGCACATTCACGAACACGATCAACTAGGCGGTTGGTCGCGTTGACGGTCTGCACAATGGAAGAGGGCATTGTACTGAGCAGTAGGCTGGTGTCGGCCGAATGCATGGGACCTGACTGCTCGGACCTCCATCCGATGGCTCCCAAGATAGCCCTCAGCTGGCCCTTCTCCTTGTCGGTGGTCGGCATGTCCTTGGCCTTCTTGCGCTCCGGGGTGAGGTACGCCTTCTCGATGGTTTTCACGTACTCGCTCTGATCCATGCGGAAGCTCCTGTCGGGCTGCTGCTTGATCCGCACCCCCGTCTGCATGAACTCCTCCGACTCCCAGGCCTTCCACTTGAAGCGCTTCTCGATCTGCTCCCGGGCGGTGATCCACCTGGGGTCCGCGTCGTTGCCACCGAGCAGGAAGTCGTCCACGTGCGAACCCGCAATGGCTATGATGTCCAGGTCCCCCTTCGCCGCGATCAGGTCCCCCAGCACCTCTGGGTTCGTGAAGTCCTTCAGCGCCTCCTTGGTGAAGCTGTTATCCTTGCCGTGCGCGTCACCGTAGAGCACCCACGCGCAGGGGTCCATCTTCATCTGGGTCCAACCGAACTCCTCCAGCGCCTCGCTCACGGTCATGAACCACTCGATCGCCGCCTCCACGAGCCCGTAGACCGCCTTCCTGAGCCGCATCGCAACACCCTCGGGCATCCCCAGGGCCGCCGCCAGCTCCTTCACGGGCATCACGAACAGGTCATGCTGGATCTCTCGGTTCTGCGTGAAAGCTCCCGTCACGTCCGCCTTGTAGCCCTTGAAGCCCAACCACGCCATCGCCTGCAGCACCAGGTGCCTCGAAGTTCTCGTCATGGTTGGAGCGGTAGTCGGACGGTGCTCGTACTCGGGGCCCATGTAACCCAGAACAGCGATCCTCGCCTTCGGCTTTTTCGCGCCCGTGTTCTCGTCCACCTTCCACTCGAGAATCCACCTCTTTCTCATGATCTCCTCAGGAGGCGGGGTCACTCCTGGTGGGAGTGTCTCCAGCACCGAAGACGCGATGTAGTTGTTCACCTCCGTGGCCTTCGCTTGGTTGAACGTCGCCCCCTCTTCTGGGGCCAACGTCCTCTCCGAGATCTCGCGCATGCCTTTCCGCAGCTGGCTCGCCATGTAGGTGCTCATGTGCCTCGTGGCCTGCTTGAGCGGCTTGCCCTCCAATGGAACCTCAACGGAGACCTCCAGCGACGTACCTTGGCGGGCCCAAAATGCCCGGGCGTCTGGAGTGGACTTCGCCATGAGGGCCATGTTCTCCTTCATCTGCTCCTCCGCCAGGGCTGCTCGAGACGCTCGAACTTGGTCAGCTGCTCCTCCTGGGTGGTGTCCTTTCTTGAGAATCCGCTTCCGCACTGGTGGTGTGGAACGGCCCCCTGAGGTCTGGCCGTCTCCTGCAGCTTGTCCTGTGCGGGCCTTCTTCAATGGAGGGGCTGGGTCAGGTAGTCCCTCCCAGGTCGAGATCTCCACGTCGTTCTCGATGGGGTCGTGGCCAGTGAAGTCCAGGTACTCGTGGTTCAGCGCCTGATTCATGAAGGTGTGGACCGTCCAGGGCGTGTCCTTGCCTCCCATCAGCTCGGCGTAGGCGATCTCCCGTGAGGAAGCCGCTCGGATCTGGCAGAGGTCCACCTTGATGATACGCCCGGCTCGCACAAGCCACACCACGGATCCTGCACGCCCAGGGTGTAGAACACGTCCTTCGCCAAGGTCTCCGTCTACCGGTCGCGCCGTCTCTGTGGCCAGGACCCTCGCGAGCCCCTTGAAGCGGCCCTTAGCTTCGCCCTTCTCCTTCCTGAAGTAGCGCACCCACATGCCCGGCGCCGCGGACTTCACCGCCTGATTCTTCGCGTTCTCCGCCCTGCTGAGGCGCTGCATGTAGACCTGCCTCAGGTACTCCTGCTCGGCCGCGTACATCCCGGTGTAGTTCTCCCCGAACTCCTCGTCGACCCTCTGGGCTTCCACGTAGGGCAGCTCGTCAAAGTCGCTCTCAAAGAAATGTCCTTCCAGGTCTGGTGCCCGTCCTAGGGCATGTTGAAGGGGTGAGTATCCTCGAACATCTTCACGTGAGTTCCCAGCTGCGGTCGCCCTTGCCAGGGCTTCCTCCGTCGTCATCTCGGGGTTCTCCGCCACCAGCTTGTCCATGGTCCCCTTGGCGGCCTGGATGGCCTCCTCGGCGAGGGAGATGTGCCAATGAGCCCGGCCAGGTATGGGTTCGTACCCGATGGAGTCGGAATCGAAGTACTCAGCCGCCTGCTTGGACATCCAGGATCCTTCGGGGTCCACCTTTACCCTCTGCGGCTTGCCGAAGTAGGGCATCCAGCGCTCCTCGTAGAACAGCTCGAGGTCAGCCCATACAGGATTCCTGTGCCGGTCCTCGCCAACCATGTGGTACAGCAGCTTGCTAACGCGCACCCTGCAGTTCTCGTCTATGACCAGGGAGATCTTGGACTTGACCTTCGTCTGCGGGTGCTCCCACTCGAACTGGTCCGCCTGGATGTGCTTCCACTTCGGCGGGATGGCCTCTAAGCTGTCGGGCGGATGCGTAGGCTTGAACTTGTTCGCCTCCTCGCACGCGTCGCAGTGGAAGTCCTGGGCCACCTGTAGCACCTGTGGGCTGGCGCCCTTCCTCCGAAGCGCGTTCAGCATGGAGGCCTTCGAGCTGTGACCTGAGCCACGGTGGATCGAGGTGAGCCACTTCATGATCTGCTGGTACTCCTTCGAGTTCACGTCGGTGTTCATCTTCGTCTCCTCCTGTTTGGCTGCCATCGCCTGGTCGATCACCTCCTCGGGCTCTGCCAAGCACCTCGGGAACTCGTGGTAGTCTGGCGCGGCCTCCTCGATCATCGCACGAACAGCTCGCCTTGCAAACTCGTCCGGGTAGTAGCTGGTGGCCGCTGTGAGACCGCCTCCTGTGAGCCCCCCATGTCGGTGATCTCCTGAGCACTCCAGGGACATCCTAGCGGCCATCTTTGGAGACGTCGCAGCGATCAGCCACTCCTTCAGCAGCGGCAGGCCCTTCTTGTCCTTCACACCGAGCTGGCAGCCTGCCACCCTCACCACAGTCATCGAACAGTCCTCCACCATCTTCCTGATCATCGTGTGGCCCCAGCCCTCGCACTTGATGGGCCACTCCCAGTGTACATGCTTGCCTTGAGCCACCTGGTCGTACATCAGCTGCACCGCGCCCTTGTACTCCTTGATGGCCTGCAACCTGCGCTTCCTGGTGGCCTCGGCCCTGATGGGGTTGGAGCCGTTGAAGCCGAGGGCGAGGTTCGATAGCGGGCCGCACCTCGCACTGATCCACAGGTGGTCTGGTTCAGCTTCATCACGTGCCTCTCGAGCCCTCCGGTTGCCGCCAGGGGTCCCCAGCTCGAAACCATTCCAAGCACTGATGCGACATGCAGCGTCCTCGCCGAACTTCTCCGCCATCTTCGTGCCCAGGATGGACGTTCGGCTGCATGCGACCTCCATCAGCTTAGTGCCGCCGTGAGCCATCAGCGCCTCGTAGTCCTCCAAGTGGCCGTTCTCCTTGATGCACTTGGCGAGCCAGCGCTGCTTCCTGGGGTCCAGCTCCTTTGTGCAGTTCAGCCCTCTGCCTGACCACTCTGACTGGAACCCACTGGTACGAAGCTCCCAGCGTTGGAGCTGGCTGAGCTCGCTTGGTCCTCCAGCTGGCCGATCCTCTGGTTGAGCTGGTTCAGCGCCGCCAGCATCTGCTGCTGGACCAAGAGGTTGGACTCCTTCTCCTCCTTCTGCTCCTTGATCGCAGCCTCGAGCTTCTCCTGCTCCTCGATCTCGTCCTCCATGATCGCGTCCACCGTCCTCCTGCGGGATGACCTCGCGCCCCCTCGAGCCTTGACCGGCTCCTTCGGGACCTCCATCGGATCCCTGGTCACCTCCGCCTTCTCGTCGATGTTCTCCTGCTCGTTGAGCCACGAGACAAACCGGGCCAGCTCCCAGCTGCTCTCCTTGTTCGCCTCCTTCTGGCACCAGGACGCGTAGGACGGGCACTGGCTCTGAACCTGCTGGTAGGTCACGGCCCCGTGCTTCCCGAAGCCCATGTAGTCGGTCGGCCCCGGCGTGTGCTTCATGAGGATGGCCTTGCGGATCGAGAGCTTGAGTGACGGATTCGCCATGCCTTGCGTCACGTGGGCGCCTACCTCCTCGGCCTTCGCCAACAGCTGGGACTTCTTCATCGAGCTGAGGCCCTTCATGGCCACCTGCGCTGGCGTCTCGTCCTTCGGAAACACGTGCTCCTTGAGGACCTGCTTCAGCTCGCCCACGCCCCAGGCCGGACTGCGCGGCAGGCCAAGCTCCTGAAGTAGCTGAAGTACCTCCGCCTTGTAGAGGCCCTGCACTGCACTGCGAGACGTTGGCATCTGAAGTGGCCGCATTGCACGAGCATGCGATCCTGGCGCAGGTGAGCTGGACCGCCCCGCGGATGAGGTTACCCCAGCGCATCCCTTTACTGACATCGACGGCCTTCGGCCTGAGATATGGAAGATCTGGTGGATCTGGAACTGCTGGTGGTTGGATGCTGTCGGTCGCTGTCGACTCGAATGAACTTGCCTGGCTCGAGCCCGAACGGCCATGGAAGTGCAGCTGGGCCCTCTGGTTCTCCTGGGATGCTGGATGAGCTCTGCGACCCACTGTGGAACCAACTTGAGACGGCACCTGAACTCTGCGAGGAACTGTGGCTCTGAGACCTGATGCGGGGCCCAACTGAGACTGAGAATGAACACTGCGAAGGACACTATCTTCAACTGCGGGACCCATCTGAGGCTGTGACCGACTGTTGCGATGAATTCTGCCATCAACTGTGAGGCAACCCTGATCACATGACTGACCTCTGCACGCACCTGCTGAATCGACTGGAGACGCATCGATGACAACGCTGTGATCCAATTGAGATGGATGCATGTAGCGCTCCAACTGCTCAGCCCGAACATCCGAGCTGCTGTCTGGCCCCTGGCACACTGCGGCCACGGGCTTGCGGTCCCACTCACGCATGTTCTCGCAGATGGTCTTGAAGTTCCGCAGCTGGTTCTGGTCCCTGACGCGCTGCTCCAGCAAGTCGTCAACCAGGCTCATGTAGTAGTGTCCTCCATCAGGTGACTCCTCCAGCTGAACGGGGATGTCCGGCGCGAGCTTCACGAACACGGCCACCCCAGTCTCGCAGTCCACGACGGCTCCCAGCTTCTTCAGAACCTTCTTGGACACCAGGATCGGGACATCCTTCGAGAAGCCGTTGATGGCAATGTCGCCCTCCATGCCCGCCCCCGATGCCGAACTTCACCTGTCCGTAGGCGCGCTCCTTCTCGCCGTTCCCGAAGCTGTAGACTGGCCTGTAGTCCAGGTTCACATGCAGCAGCCTGGCGTCGCCGTACTTCTCCATGTTCTTGCGGGCCACGGTGTCCAGCGCACGTTCACCACCCATGGCGTCCGTGCACCCTAAGTCGACGATGCCCTTGCCCTTGCGGATGGCCTGGTCTGCGAACATCGCCTCGCACTTCAAGTCCTGGGGCTCCTGCTCGGCGACCAGCGAGGCCACGAGGTTGAACTTCAGCTCCTTCCTGCACTCAGCCACCTTCGCGCTCGCCTCCGGCGTGCCTGCAGCTCCTGGTCGGAGACGTGGGTCGTGACGCTCCTGGCAGTCCTGAACCCAGTGAGCTCCACCACACTTTGCGCACTTCTTCTGGCCCTTGTTCGGCGGCAAGATCTGGCCTCTACCTCCTACCTGGGGAGGAAGTGGTCGGCGTGATCCCGCTGGGAACCCTTTGCCTGACCCCTTCGGCGCTGGCCGTCCTCCACGGTAGAAGCCCCTGCTCAGCCGGCTGTCTGCCTGGGCCTCCCGAGCCTGGCGGAAGGTGCGCTGGGCGGTGTGGATCGCCGCGAGCGCCTCCGCCTCCTCCTGCTGAGCCGCCAAGTATGTCTCGATGTCGTCATCGTTCGCCTCCTCCTGGCCCGGGTCTTCCTCCTGCCACTCGCAGTTCTCCACGTCGGCTGCGAAGCTGCTCGCGTCTGGCCCATCGTCTCCGTCAAGCCAAGTACGATCATTTTCTCCAAGCTGAGCTGTGTACGCCTTCGGGAACCTCGAGTGCCCGTCGCGTTCCGCCAGGTCGTCGTCCTCCCAGCTCGAGATCAGCTTCTCCCGGGTGATGTTGACCTCCAGCGAGCCGCCCGTCGCCGTCATGATGATGGCAGCCCTCTCGCGCGAGTCGAGCCCCGACCGCACGAGCATCAGCCAGCCCAAGACCAGGCTAGGGAACACCTCCGGCATGTCCCCGAGCTCCTCCTCGGCGTCCGCGTCCTGGTCGGCAGCGCTCCAGTGGTGCGACTCCTCCTTCTCGTCGTCTGGCAGGCCGTCCGTGTACTCCCACGTCCATTCGCTACCCTCGAATGGCCCATCACGTTCGACCTCGATCCAACGGTAAGGTCGTTCTGACCTCCTCCACGGTGAAGCAACCTGAACTGGAACTGTGTGTCCGAGCGCGCGTGCCAACGCGCGCCTGAGGTACTGGTACCCTGTCTCGAAGCGGTCCGTCCACTGCTGCATCGGCTCGAGTTTGCGGCGCTTCGTCTTGATCAAGAACGTCTCGAGCTCCTGGCCGACGTCTGGAACAGCCTGTCGAGAGCACCTGCGTTCCAGCCACGCCAAGAGCCGCTCCACGCCGTCCGGCCTGGAGAGCCACCCAGCCTTGCAGCGCTCGACCGCGATCTCGGCCCGGCCTGTGAGCTTCGCCTCCAGCCGCGGGCCGCACAGGTACCTGTCCTCCCTCTTGGTGCCCTCCTGGTACTGGAGGGCCTTCCGCCTGTGCGTCCTCCAAGTCTTGGGATCCCCATCCCAGCTTGGCACCTTGCCCCGATGATCCTCGGTCATCGTAATCAAACTCCGTGTCAACCACGTGCTCCTGCTACCATGCAAGTAGTCGGCGGAAGCTGCGCAGCGGTATCGATCTGTGAATATGTTCTGAACTCCGAAAGCTCGAGCCCTGCTCACAGGGCTTCTAATCTCTCGTGCCTCTGAGCACAAGCGAGGGGGCGCTAGAGCCGAGACGGTAGCAGGCAAAACACATATGGAAAACACAACTCCAATCGCAAACTGAAGCTATGCAAAACATGGAACATGAAACATCTGCTACCCTGCTGGACTCACTCACTCATGCTCAGGCTTGCTCGTATTCGGAATTGCAGAAATGGGCGCGGTGCCGCCATGCGGACGCAGCCACTGGGGCCCTCGGTGGAGCTCCCTATGGGGCCAAGGAGCGTGTGAGGGGTGTCCCGAAATGGGCGCGGTGCCGCCATGCGAACGCAGCCACTGGACCACCGAGCTCCCTATGGGGCCACGAAACGTGTGAGGGGTGTGCCGAAATGCGTGCGGTGCCGCCATGCGAACGCAGCCATTGGAGCCCTCGGTGGAGCTCCTTATGAGGCCACGCAACGTGTGAGGGGTGTGCCGAAATAGGTGCGGTGCCGCAATGCGAACGCAGCCACTGGGGCTCTCGGTGGAGCTCCTTCAGGGGCCACGAAACGTGTGAGGGGTGTCCCGAAATGGGCGCGGTGCTCCCATGCGAAAGCAGCCACTGGGGCCCTCGGTGGAGCTCCTTCAGGGGCCACGAAACGTGTGAGGGGTGTGCCGAAATGGGCGCGGTGCCGCCATGCGAACGCAGCCACTGGGGCCTTCGGTAGGGTTTCCTATGGGGCCAAGAAACGTGTGAGGGGTGTGCCGGTGCGGTGCCGCCATGCAAACGCAGCCATTGGGGCCTTCGGTGGAGTTCCCTATGCGGCCACGAAACGTGTGAGGGGTGTGCCGACATGGGCGCGGTGCCGCCATGCGAAAGCAGCCACTGGAGCCCTCGGTGGAGCTCCCTATGGGGCCTCCGAGCGAGTGAGGAATGTGCCGAAATGAGTGCGGTGCCGCCATGCGAACGCAGCCATTGGGGCCTTCGGTGGAGCTCCCTATGGGGCCACGCAACGTGTGAGGGGTGTGCCGAAATAGGTGCGGTGCCGCAATGCGAACGCAGCCACTGGGGCCCTCGGTGGAGCTCCTTCAGGGGCCACGAAACGTGTGAGGGGTGTGCCGAAATGCGTGCGGTGCCGCCATGCGAACGCAGCCACTGGGGCCCTCGGTGGAGCTCCTTCAGGGGCCACGAAACGTGTGAGGGGTGTGCCGAAATGGGCGCGGTGCCGCCATGCGAACGCAGCCACTGGAGCCCTCGGTGGAGCTCCTGATGGGGCCACGAAACGTGTGAGGGGTGTGCCGAAGTGGGTGTGGCTGACGCGGAGGGGGAGGAGGGAGGAGGTGGAGGAGGAGTGAGTGAGGGACGCGGGACGCTGTCTCTTCAAAACGAGGACCCAACACGACAGGATGGTTGGGAAAAAGTCGATCTGCCAGCATGTGCCCCAAATAAATCTCGTCTCTAATTGCGCGTGCCTGCGTAGCCTGGACGACAGAGACCTTAAAAGGAACGCCAGGCGAACCGGGGTGAAGGGAACGCCAGCCTTCAAGGAACGTTTGAGCACGAGGAAGTGCCGAGCAACTGAAACGGGGTGAAGCACCGTCATGGTGAACTGCTGGCCCCCCACCCGCGTCCCGCCCACACCCACAACGCCGACCCCCTCCCACGCTTCATTTCACAATCTGGGCCATGCACTGGCCCAGCTGGGGTAACACCCCTAAGAACTCTTGCCATCTGCAAAACGGGCAAACCTCAACTTTTGAAACCCTGTGCTGTCTCGAGCCAGCTGTCTCTAGCTAGTCTGGTTCCTAGGCTGTCTCGAGCCAATCTGGGGGGCTTACTGGGCTGTCTTGATCTTCAAGAAATTCCTGAAGGCGAGAACGCGAAAATCCGCCGACCCCTTGGAGCCTGCTCGGCATGTGAAATTGCTGCCCCTCCCCAAACCTCTCTCACGGGAGCCTGGCCTGGCCGACTCGGAAGAGGGGGCGGGTCGGCCAAACGGGCCAGGGGGGGCCCCGCTCCTCCCAGAAATGCTTCCGGACGGCCCTGGGTGGCTTCGAAATAGGCGCCAGATGCTCCAAGACACCCCAACATGGCCTCCATGTACTACAACTGGCACCAAGACGACCCATGATGGCCTCAAGACAGCCCCAGAAGCGTCTAAGACGCTCCTAGACGGCTCCACGAGGACCCCAGAGGGCCCCAACAAGCAAAAATCGTCCTGTTCCCTTCGGGGAACGGATCTTTCCAGTTCAGTTGATTCGCCTTTTGGGTTTCCAACGTCCAAAACGGCCTCCGAGGACTCCCAGATCTGCTTTCTGGATTTTCATCACGTTTTAGACGGCCTCTGACGCCTCCCGGATCGCCCCAAGATGGCCCCAGAGGCCCCCAAGAGGACCCCAGGATGGCTCCTCACGGCCCCGGGACGGCCTACGAGGCATCCTGGACAGCCCCAGACTACCCCAGGAACGGCCCAAGACAGCTCAATGGCCCCAGCCCGACGGCCCAAGAGGGGCCCAAGATAGCCCACGACGGCCCACAATGCGCCTCTGACGACCCAGGAGGGCGCCGAAAGACTTCCCAGAATCCCTAAGACCCGGAAGGCCCCCAAACGGCCCCCAGAAAGCTTCCAAAGGCCCTCGATGTGTGCTCTTGGGTCGGCGTCGACGTTGTACCGACGACGACGCTCGTCAACAACTCCGCCACTGCCCTTCCTGGCATGTTGAACATGATGGGACGCCGCGTGCTATCTGGAATGGTTCCTGCAAATCGCCCCCGCTCCTCCTCCTCCTCCTCCTCCTCCTCCTCCTCCTCCTCCTCCTCCTCCTCCTCAGCCTCCTCCTCATCCAACCTTTTTTCTGGAGCCTCTGAAGCTATCGTTGCCACCACAAGACGAAGAGGGAAGAACACGTCCCGCAATCCACCAACCCCCTGGGACCTTGTGCCGGAGACACCCAAAGAACCTCAAGAAGCGAAAATTAACATCGCTGCAAGGGGTCGGCGGATGTGGCGCAACCCCCAAGAAACCACAGCCGGAAGTGACGTGTTGCCGGAGGCAGGTCGCGCAGCGGAGCGGAAGCCCTAATGCAACGTATCCAATGTATCCAATGATTGCGTAATTGCTACATATTGCATTGTGTTACATTGTTATCTCTCCCCCCTAACCCCCCCCCCGGAGTCGCGCCACTTCCGTCGACCCAAAGGTGGAGGGCCCCGTGTGGGCCTAAAAACCAACAGAAACCAATGGAAAATCAATGATTTCGGCTCCTTGGGCCTCCTGGGGGTCCAAGAGGGCGTGAAGACGGCCCAAGATGGCCCCAAGACAGCCCAAGACGGCCTCAAGACGGCCCAAGATGGCCCCAAGAGGGCCCATGAGGCCCCCAAGATGGCCCAAGAGGGCACAAAGAAGACTCCCGAGAGCGCCTCCGGAGGCCAAAATCTTTGATGTTCCTATAGTTCTGGGACAATTTCAACGTTCTCGCCTTTTTCGGCTCTCAGAAAGCCACGACGGCCCAAGATGCGGCCTCCAAACGGCCCGAGAGGCCTCCAAGGGGGCCCCAAGACGGCCCAAGAGGGCCCCGAGACGGCCAAAAAAGCCTCCAAGACGGCCCAAGAAGCCCCCAAGACGGCCCCAGAGGACCCCAAGAGAGCACCAAGGCGGCCGCGAGAGGTTTCCAAAGTGGCCTCCGAAGTGGCCAGACGGCGCAAGAGCGCCCAAAGACGCCCAAGACGTCCCCAAGAGGCCCCAAGAGGCTCCAGAGAGGCCACCCAGAGGCTCCAAAAAGCCCCTAGGAAGCTTCCAGGAAGCTCCCAGGAGACTCCCAGGAGGCCCCACAACGACTGGACTGAACGTGCTCCGAATGAAACACCCTCGGCGAATCACTAAACAATAATATCCCGCCCTGGGCGAACCGCGGCGCAGCGCCAGCCAGATGGAAATTGGTCACGGCGGCGTCCGTGATCAGAGCCAGCGCTGGAAGGGAGGAGGGGGAGGGGAGAAGGAAAAAGAGGGATGGCGGGAGGCGGGAGGGAGGGGTAGCAGAGGCACAGAGCGCCCCAAAACAGCCCAAGACGCGCAAGAAGGGCCCCAGGAAGCTCCCAAGAGAACCCCACAGACGCCCAGAAGGCGCAGCCCAGAGGCCCCCCCAGAGATCCCCTGCAGTCCGGCAACGACTGGGCTCCACAAAACCCCCAAGAGCTCCCAGGACACTCCGAAACGACTGGACTGTACGTGCTCCGGACGTGCACCCCGCGAAGCGAGAGGAATCCACGTCCGGAAGTGACGCGTTGCCGGAGGCAGGTCGCGCAGCGGAGCGGAAGCCCTAATGCAACGTATCCAATGTATCCAATGATTGCGTAATTGCTACATGTTGCATTGTGCTACATTGTTATTTCTCCCCCCTAACCCCCCCCCGGAGTCGCGCCACTTCCGTCGACCCTAAGGTGGAGGGCCCCTTGTGGGTCTAAAAACCAACAAAAACCAATGGAAAATCAATGATTTCGGCTCCTTGGGCCTCCTGGGGGTCCAAGAGAGGGCGTGAAGACGGCCCAAGATGGCCCGAAGACAGTCCAAGACGGCCTCAAGACGGCCCAAGATGGCCCCAAGAGGGCCCATGAGGCCCCGAAGAAGGTCCAAGAGGCCCCCAAGAAGACTCCCGAGAGCGCCTCCGAAGGCCAAAATCTTTGATGTTCCTATAGTTTTGGGACAATTTCAACGTTCTCGCCATTTTCGGCTCTCAGAAGGCAATGACGGCCCAAGCAGCCTCCAAGAAGGCCTCCAAACGGCCCGAGAGGCCTCCAAGGGGGGCCCAAGACGGCCCAAGAGGGCCCCGAGACGGCCAAGAAACCTCCAAGACGGCCCAAGAAGCCCCCAAGACGGCCCCAGAGGACCCCAAGAGAGCACCAAGGCGGCCGCGAGAGG